CCCTCCAGTTATTTGCCTGCTCAGGAGATAGCATTAGAAGGCGCGATGGTATTGTCCTGTGCTGGCGAACTTCGACAGGTTGCAACCCTAAAGACAAACAGATTCTTTGAAGCAAGCAACTAATAAAGGGAAAGTTGGGCAGAGAGAAGGGGAGGCAATCCTAACCTACCCAAACAGATCAGTCTTAAAGACACCCGTGAGTATCAAGAGCTCAAGGGGTGCATTCTTTTCAAGGCACAAAATAAATACCCGTAGGCACAGGTAGCAGGATGTCTGTTCCCAGTAAGGCTTTCACTCAAGCTTAAATAGCACATGAAGGCTCCAGGCATTTATTCAAATGTTAAAAAGCAAACCCAGCGCACACAGATTGAGGCTTCTTGCAAGGATTAGTAACAAAGTCACTTGTAAGCAAAAGAATGGCTTCAGCCAAGCTGCTCCACAATATAGTTTATTTAGGCAAACGTTAGGGCTGGGTGCCCCGAGTGGGAAGGCCGTGCTTGGGGAAATAGGATCAGCCCGAGAGGAGCATGCAAACACCCACCAGAGACCTTCACATGCCCCCCATCCTGATCAACGGGAGCACCAGATATTCCCTAAGTGATAGTAAGAAAAAAGAAAACACCAGAATTCTTTTATTGCAAATTCCTCACCGAGAGACTCGTGAAACGGCAGGTCTGCGCCGCTGCGGTCTGAGGCATCGCTGCACACCACGCCAAGGCTCCGAGTAAAGCGCCAGATGTGAATGAGCCGCGAAGGAGCATTTGAGGACCTGGCCGCAGCTGCAGCATTGCTTTGTGCTGGTGACCCCCGTATGATCACCAAAAACCAGATTTCCACTCCTCACGCCTGCACCCAGACCCCTCCATGCCGCCGGCCCTCCTGCCTCAGCCCAGATCACCGCGGAAGGTGCCGGCGGTGCGGTGCTGAGCTGGTGCTCGCCTCCGTCCCTGCCATCCCCTCCCAGAGCACTGGCATGGCACTGAGCCGCAGCCACCTCGCGCGCCCTGGCCGAGGGCTGGCGCAGGCAGGAGAGACAGCATTATGGTGGAGAAGTTACCTGACCTTGTAACGAGGAGCATCCACTGCCAACACTGGTGAACAGATACAACCGTCTGCGGCAACGGTCCGTACTGGCACCGCGCACCCAGTGGGAGCCCTCCAGGACGCAACGCTGCGGTGAGCCCCCTCCTTTCTTCACAGGTTCTCCTCCCTCATTGCCCTTCACAAAAATATCCACGTGGGCCTCTCAGCCATCCTCGTACCCATCTGCCTGGACTGGAAAGGGTGTTTGATAAACTCAATACGCACTGAATTTGCTTTGGTTTGGTTTTAAAGTGATTTGGGGTAAAGACAGGGCTAGAACTGGGTTTAAGAATACTGTGCCTTGGTGTCTGGAAACGCCCTGGAGATAGGAGCAAGCTGGGTACATTTAACTAGAAGGTCACATTCCAAAATTTTTGCAGCTTCAATAAAACTCTCAACAGCTACAGAACATTTTTTTCTGTGTTAATTTAATCATACAAATATTCATTTATACATTAAGGAAAAAGCTTCCTTTATTTTTACCCCCAATGTGCTATCATAGGACTTCTCCCAGACTCAACGAGGCGACACACCATCCTGTTCTACACATGCACTCCCCCTGGAGAGAACAGACAGGCTGCAGAACCACCCACGCACTCACACACAGGAAAAAAAAAAATTAAACACAAACCAGAAACCCAGACGTGGGACAGCGTGCATTTCCTAACCCTGCAGACTCCAGCTGCTCTCACGCCCCCGTGCTCCCTGACCGCCCGGCTTTGCCCCTCGGTGGGGCAGCCACATCTTCCAAACCTCGGCGGGGTCCGCATCCAACGCCCCCAAGATGCAGGCAGCAGATTGCAGCTTCCCCCACCCCCTCACGTGGCATCGCCAGTTTGGGGCTGGTCCAGGTTACCGAGGCTGGGAGAGGGTGCCTGGGGTGGCACTGCTCGCGTTGTCTCAGCCCTCAAG